GACATAAATGGTGGTACCCCACTTAACGCGGTCAATTGAACCCAGAGGGTCCCGCGTTAAGTGAAAACCGAGTTAAGTGAATAACAGAACATATGGGATTAATTCCAATAGAACCCAGCCCGACCCCCAAACTCCACTTTTTGACGACAAATAACTATGTTGTAGTAAAAATAACATCTTAATTTTATGATGGTACATGCACACAATTAATACTTAAGAGAAATACAGTCGCCAAGTTAATGTCCATTCAAATAATGGACTCAACTCCCTCCCCCTCTCACACTACAGTACACAGCCAGCTAACAGATGGTCGGTCGGTCCCTCCCTCCCCCCCCCCACCCCCCACCAACCGTCCCAAGGAGATGTGTGGGATAACCTCAAACTAAAGTTAGGAAAATATAATTGACATTGCTGGATTCCTTGTAAGACCAGGAATATTTTGAATATAAATGTCATATATTTTTCACAAAAGATAACATACTTACTCAGATTAAACATTTTATCTAAAAATTGTATGTTTAATGCAAAAAATATGTTGTTTATATTCAAAATGATCACCAAATTATAAGAATTCCAGCAATGTAAATTATATTCTGGCCGGATAATTTGTATGAATTTTATGAGCTAAAACAAATATCTACAGTTAATAAAAAAAAAAATATATTCTTCAACACTATCTGTCAATCAAAGTACCCCACCTTGCCTCCCCCCCTCTTCCAACCGCGCGGTCAGTCCCAACCCTCCCCCCACCCCCCACCAATCCTCCATTCAAGAGTTTTTAACATTTAGTAATAAATAATACCTCAGATTAAAGTTAGGATAATATAATTGACATTGCTGGATTCCTTGTAAGACCAGGAATATTTTGAATATAAATGTCATATATTTTGGACAAAAGATAACATACTTACTCAGATTAAACATTTTATCTAAAAATTGTATGTTTAATGCAAAAAATATGTTGTTTATATTCAAAATGATCACCAAATTATAAGAATTCCAGCAATGTAAATTATATTCTGACCGGGTAATTTGTATGAATTTTATGAGCTAAAACAAATATCTTCAGTTAAAAAAAAATAATTCTTCACCGGGTAACAGATGGTCGGTCGGTTGGTCCCTCCCTCCCCCCCACCCCCCACCAACCGTCCCAAGGAGATGTGTGGGATAACCACTAAATTTTAATAAATAATACCTCAAACTAAAGTTAGGATAATATAATTGACATTGCTGGATTCCTTGTAAGACCAGGAATATTTTGAATATAAATGTCATATATTTTGGACAAAAGATAACATACTTACTCAGATTAAACATTTTATCTAAAAATTGTATGTTTAATGCAAAAAATATGTTGTTTATATTCAAAATGATCACCAAATTATAAGAATTCCAGCAATGTAAACTATATTCTGGCTGGGTAATTTGTATGAATTTTATGAGCTAAAACAGGCAGTCAGGCAGGGTGGCGGGTGGGGGGTGGTGCGAATCTAAAAATAGCTCTCGAGCCGGACACTCACCGCGTTGCTGTGGAAAAATCCGCGTTAAGTGAAAGTTCAGCTTTGGCAAGGCACCGCGTATATGCGAAAACGCGTTAAGTGAAAGCGCGTTAAGCGGGGTAATACTGTATAATATATATATAAATAAATAAATAAATAAATAAATAAATAAATATATACTTCAGAAGACCTCTGTACAGCTGTCAAACACATCACCTCCCCCATTTTCCCAGTCAGAGTTTGGTGATCTTAGCTTAAAGTTTTTATCTTATAAAATATCACAGACTAATGTTAGCAGAATATAAATTGCATTGCTAGAATCCTTGCAAGACAGCGAATAATTAGAATCGAGACATCATATGTTTTGCACGAGATAAAAATTTTATTACATTATTGTAGTACATTTTAGTAATGTACAAGTTTTTCAACTGTATTTTGGGGTAGATTTACATAAATTTATTCATTTATTTTTAATCATTTACATGCACACACCATCCTAAAAAAAGGTAAAAGAAATAATTGTCCTAAGTGCAAACCTGTACTCTACTAAAATGTTCTAATTTATTAACACAATTGCACTAGACATAATTTTCTTTTTAAATTTGGAGTTTGAAATTGGAAATTGTAACCTAACCCCTGGGGTAATCCGCTTATAGTTGAAACTGAGTAAGAAAAATATGTGTAGGTTGCGAGTCTACTGTTTGTGACTGATGTTAATTTGTCAAGCCAACCTTTATAAGGCATTCTATTACATTAATGTGTGTGTGGTTGTTGAATGAACAGCTGACACCCTCCGTGTGGTTGTGTGGGTGACAGCAGTGCATGACTCTTGTACAGTACATACAGTACTTTTAATTCAGGAAATATGCTGATTTTTTAGAAAGTTAGATTTATTGAGTTAAATTATCATACATTTTTCACATTGGTTCAACATGTCTAAATGTACAGTCGCAGTCAAAGGTAATCATCCACTCCACCACTTATTTTATGTTTATTATTATGTGTCATTCATTTTCTTAGTTATCATTTTTCGGGTTGTTCAGGTTTTAGACCGGTAATTAGATTTCTATAATAACATTGATATGAGGAGAAATATTGATTACAAAGGTGAAAATCACATTTATTTTTAATATTTACCAACACAGGTCATACAGAATCTCAATAGCCCGTCCAATGATCCTCTTCGCCTATCAATTGTAGTCTCCCCGTCCTAAAATTACAGATATATAATTTATGTGATATATGAGTTCAAACATGTCTTGTTTACATTACACACACAAAATTAGTCATTTTAATACAGGTTGACAATCTCTTACCCAAAATCCTTGGGACCTGATACATTTCGGTTTTTAGAATTTTTCGGATTTCAGATTTTTTTTTTTTTTTTTTCTACAGGGATCAGCCCACCCGGGCACAGGTCACTGACCCACATCGGGGCCTGGGGCCTAAAATATAATAATAATAATAATAATAATAATAATAATAATAATAATAATAATAATAATAATAATAATAATATTATTATTAATTCATAGGTCTAGGTCATGTTTCTCACTTTTGATCTTTTTTTCATTCTTGTACAGTAGTACCCCGCTTAACGCAGTCAATAAAACCCACAGGGTACCGTGTTAAGTGAAAACCACGCTAAGTGAACAACAGAACATATGGGATTAATTCCAATAGAAACTGGCCCGACCCCAAACTCTACTTTTTCCGACACAATACCTATGTTCTAGTAAAAATAACATCTCTTAATTTTATGATGGTACATGCACAAAATTAATACTTAAGAGAAATAGAGAAATACAGTCGCCAAGTTAAAGTCCATTCAAATAATGGACTCAAGCCCCTCCCCCTCTTCTCACACTACACTGCTGGCTCTTCCCTCTCTGAGAAATTTTTTGGGGGAAAACCACTAAATTTTAATAAATAATACCTCAAACTAAAGTTAGGATAATACAATTGACATTGCTGGATTCCTTGTAAGACCAGGAATATTTTGAATATAAATGTCATATATTTTGCACAAAAGATAACATATTTACTCAGAGTAAACATTATATCTAAAATTTGTATGTCTAATGCAAAATCTATGATGTTTATATTCAAAATGATCACCAAATTGTAAGAATTCCAGCAATGTAAATTATATTCTGGCCGGGTAATTTTTATGAATTTTATGAGCTAAAACAGGCAGGGTGGGGGGTGGGGCGAATCTAAAAATAGCTCTGAGTCGGACACTCTGCGCGTATACGTGGAAAAAACCCGCGTTAAGTGAAAGTTCAGCTCTGGCGAGGCACCGCGTATACGTGAAATCGCGCTAAGCGAAACCGTGTTAAGCGGGGTATTACTGTATTTATTATTATTATTATTTCATTATTACAGTATTATTGTTATTATTACAGTATTATTATTTTATTTTTGTGTATTTTTTATTAAAATTTTTATTTACTATGAATAATTATTATTATTACTGTATTATCATTATTATTATTACCTGTATTATTATAATTATTATTACTATTACATTTTCACCCCCAGGCCCCGATGTGGGTCAGTGACCTGTGCCCGGGTGGGCTAATAATAAAAGAAAAAAAGAACAATAAATAAAAAAATTGCTCCACAAAATTTTTTCGGTTTTCAGAGATTTTCGGTTTTCGGAATTTCGGATAAAGGGTTGTCAACCTGTACAGTACAGGTGCTCTTCTACTTAAGAACGTTCAAATTACAAACTTTCAGAGATACAAACATCATCACTGAGAGGGGTTACCTGCCAGAACAGGTGTTTAATGTGGATGAGACTGGATTGTTTTGAAGAAAATTCCAGATAGAACAAACATTACCTAAGAGGAGAAGAGTGAGCCAGGTTTTAAGGCTGTATTAAAGGGTATAGGTGTACTAAATATCCATAATCTTTTCATTTTTTACAATTTGTTTGGTATCTAAAAGAGTAAAGTTGGACTTACAAACAAGCCTCAGGAACGTAACTGAATTGTAAGTAGAGGAGCACCTGTATATTAAATGAGAGTAAAAAATCAAGCATACTCACAGCAGCCAGCTTCCCACATTCCCAGAGACTCCCCCCAATGAGTTAACCAACATCTCACAGTGACCCCATCCTCCCTTGCTATTTCTTACACATAGCCAGCCTTATGCAAACCAATAATTTGCCTGTGACTCGCCAGTTAACTATCTTCCAAATGCAGTTATTGCATGCTTGATGCATTAAGTACAGTAGTAGTATCAGTAGTATACTATACTGCAGTTACATGCACAAAATATGTTTCCCCTTAAAAAACAGTTTAAAATAAATATATGTATGAAGTTTATTGAAATTTTTCCCTCCCAAAGACAAAAGAAATCCTTGTAAAATAGGGGTGTATCTTATGCGGCGGTGAGTCTTTTATGACGACAAATACGGTATATTCTTCATATACTAAATAAACATGGAGCAATGGTGCATTAAAACTAATAGCTAGTACAGTACATATTTTTTTCCAGAATACTATGTGAAGCAGGGACTACTCGGGTGACTCTAAAAAGTTTCCTCATAGCTGCGGGTAGTTTGAGTTTTCGTGGTACTTCTCAACTGTTCCGTGCCAGCAACTCAATCATCCCATATTTAATGCAGAAAGATGGGTCATCCAGGTAAGGTTTACCTTAAGTTTAGTTAGACTGAATAGTATAAGGTGTATTAGATTTTAAATATTAAGGATGTGTAGATTTACAAAGAGCAGCTGTGGAAATTTACAATGGGGACTATGTGTAATATTTTAGCTAGGTCCATGATGTCCAACCCAACGTGTTTAAACATAATGGTTAGGCTACGACATTGGTTTTTCTTACTTAACTTAGTCAGTTCAGATTGACTCGTGTATATATGTTTACCAAAGCATGTAGGTTTGGATCCAGGGAATCATAAATTGCAGTGGCTGTGGAATAATCCAAAACTTAGTGATATCCTTCATGATAGCCATTGCCAAAGGGGAAAGTAGAAGTCACAACTACCACTGAAAACTTGGAAGTAAAGAGTCATGATATTACCCCTCACTATCCTCACTGTAGCTATCAACCTCATCAAAGAAAGTTGCTTCTGCCTGCTGACTGTATTTCTATTATGAAAAGAAGCCAAGTATAGTACTTGGCTTGATATGTTGTCCATTGAGGTTGTTGGACTGAGCTCCTTTGTTGTACCGTATATCTCGGCTTATAAGAGGGAATTTGAACATTAAAAACAATCTGCCCAAAGTTAGGGGGTCGTCTTAATCACCAAGTATAAAATTCTTACCTCTTAAATATTGTGGTTTAATGTGTCAAGAGTGGTGATGGAAACATCGTAAGCCACTCACAAGCTCCTACCACTAATTATTTTATACTGAAACTTACGTTTGGCAAGCTGGATTCAAATTAAGATTCCCGGTATATTAAAATAATAAAAATGTATTATAAACCTGTCTAACATACCGTAAAAGAACATCATACCCCTGTAATAAACACAGCTATCATCACACACCCCTCCCCACACCCCCCCATTTGCCAGTGAGGAGACAAGAAAGGGAAAGTGACTGCGAGATTGGGCTATTTATAGCTGTGGAGGTGGTAAGTAATGCATATCGGTATATTTACTGATAATAATACTTATCTCCTTTAAATAATTAATTTAAAATTTATTTTTTTACAAGGAATATTCAGTAAATGACAGCATTAATTCTTGAAACTACCGACAGTTAAATACAGACGCTTAAGTGACGTCACTAGTGTTTATACTACACCAGCTGGTAACATTTGATGCCATTACTTGAAGTGAATTGGCATTATTTTAAGTAAATAACCATAAATAAATACAAAAAGTAAAAAAAAATCAAAAGTGAGAAATAATATACTGTATGTATGTTGTGTTGTCAAAGTTAGAGGAACAATTGAAACTGCAATTGTGTGTAAATGAGGCAGAAAGTCAGGTCAGGCTGAACCTGGGACTTGGTCACAATTTTCGTGATGCCATATGGCAGCAGGGTCTACTATTAGACAACACATTATGCTTCCAATATCTTCCCAGGTGGTAGTATCTACCTGTTTGGTAGCTGCCTACTACCTACACAATTTTTAGTAATATTACTTTGATACATGATAAATTAGACAAACAATGAAAATAAACATCAAATTTAATTACCAAGACTCTTCCCATTGGCAGCTGTAAGAAGAGGGGGAGATGGGCTATTTTTATCCCGTCTTTGTGTCTGAAGTGGCCAGTAATACCATATATTTACTGATCATAATACTTATCTCCTATAAATAATTAATTTAAAATTAATTTTTTACATAGAATATTCAGTAAATGACTTTTAAATAAATAAACAAATAATTCGGTAAATCTATTTCAAGTAAATGGAAAGTAAGCAAACAAATGTTATTTACCACCACCCTTCCCTCTGGCTCAGGGTGAGATGGAGGGGAGATAAAGAAGGCTATTTATAGCCCGTCTTTGTGTTTGAAGTGACCAGTACCCTAATGCACCATAAATAATTCATTTAACATTTATTTTTTTTACATATATTTTGTTGTACAGGTAGTTCTGCTATAACGCGATAATTGTGTTCTTGTAAAATATCGTGTTATAGAAAATCGCGTAATAGAAATAACAGGGCTTATGGAGAAAATAGGGTTAGGTGCAGATTACTCGAAATCGAAAAAATTTGGTAGTTAGCCTAACACAAAGGATAGCACAGTCTAAATAAATGTTACATTCATATCTAATAATGAAATCATACAGTAAATGTAACACTTTACCTTGAAAAACTATGAATGTAACTTGATGGGGGAGAAGGGTGATTTTGAGGTTGATAACATCGAGCTTCTCTTCAAGTGTTATATCCTTTCTTTTACGATCATCACCGGAAATTCTATCACCAGAACGCTTCTTGGAGATATTCTTCTTTACCATATTCACAATTAATACCACAAAATTGGAGAAATAGTAAGCAAAAATCGCGTTATAGCAAACAAGCGTTCACGTTATACAAATATCATTCCTAATTCATAAATCGCGTTAGAGATTATTCGCGTTATCAAAACACGCGTTATAGCAGAACTCACTATATATATATATATATATATATATATATATATATATATATATATATATATATATATATATATATATATATATATATATATATATATACACACACACCTAGACCCCGACTTACGACTGCGACTTACGACCGTTGGGACTTACGACCGCCAGTCAGATATAGATTTAAAAAAAAAAATTTTTAAATGACACACGCATTTTCTATACCGAAACGTTTCCAGTTAATGTAGTCTCCATGTATAATTAGAAAATTATGGGGGCCCCATGTGCATTCAGCTGACTACATTAAAGGTTAAGTGCTCAGTCACACAGTATCCATTCCTTATTATTTATTACTTTCACTGTACTGTATCCATTCATCATTATTCATTACTTTTACTGTACTGTATTTCATTGTAGATTTTTTATTAAAAAAAAACAAATTTTTTTTTTTATCTATGTCGGACTTACGACCATGTCGGACTTACGACCTGGATTTGGGTCCCTAACCCTGTCGTAAGTCGGGGTCTAGCTGTATATATATATATATATATATACAGTGTGTATATATATATATATATATATATATATATATATATATATATATATATATATATATATATATATATATATATATATATATATATATATATATATATATACAGTTAACCCTCACTTTACGCGGTTAATGTAACCCGGAGGGTACGCCGGAAAGTGAGGAACGCGTAAAGTGAATAACATAACATATGGGATTAATTGAAATAGAGTCCAGGCCGACCCCCAAACTCCACTTTTTGACGACACACAACTATGTTGTAGTAAAAATATTATCTTAACTTTATGATGGCATGGACACACAATTAATAATTAAGAGAAATATCAATAATATTAGGTTTTTTAACACTTACATTAGTAGAAAAGATGGCTGGGCACACGGGGATGGGCGGTTGGTTCCGAGGCAGAGGGCAGATTATTGGCCCTCACCTGTATCACTTGTATCAATTGTATCACTATCCACCACAGAGGCTTGCAGGGCCTCTTTGTCAAACCCCCCAAAGTTCATATAAGTCCATATCCTCACTATAATTATCACTATCACTGACTTGGGCCGGCTGTAGTGGGTGGCGGGTGAAGAACTGGTAATGTTTTGATGACTGGGCGACCTTGTGCGCAACATTTTCGCGCCTCTTACACAACATGGCGGATGGCGGGAGGTTTGGATCCAAAAATGGCGCGGCTTACCAGCCGCTCTCCGCGTAATGGGGTACACGCACCGCGGAATGTGAGCATGTTAGGTTAAGGCAGGGCACCGCGTTAACGGTGAACCGCGGAATGCGGGACCGCGTAATGTGAGGGTTGACTGTTGGGACAGGCCAGGAATCCAATGCTCTGTTTGTTCATTTGAGGGATAACAAGCATTGCATTGACTGGGATAATGCCTCCTCAATATTACCATGTAATTCAATTGATAGTAGGAACATCATAGAATCTAGTCTTATTAAACATACCGAAGCATTCAACATGAATTTGAGTAACGGCATGTACAAGCTGGACAATTTTGTAATTAAGAAGATTTGTGATCAGGTGAGAAGGCCGGGTCACTTGACCATCTGACCTGACCACCAACCGTTGTGTGCTATTTAAAGATTAGTAGGGTCATTACCTAATACCTGACCATTGTGGACCTGGTCTCACCCTCCTCTGTATATATACACCTTGATTTGTATTACTCTCTCTAGTCTGTACTCACCCCTGAAGATGTGAATTACACGAAAGCGCTTGGGAACTTCGTGTTTTCTTCTTTCCTTGTGGTTATCAGCATATATATATATATTGGGACAAAGAAAACTTAACGCGTTTTATCATATACGCGGTGCCTCGCCAGAGCTGAACTTTCACTTAACACGGATTTTTTCCACATATACGCGGTGCCTCGCCAGAGCCGAACTTTCACTTAACGCAGGTTTTTTCCACGTATACGCGCAGAGTGTCCGACTCGAGAGCTATTTTTAGATTCGCCCAACCCGCCACCCTGCCTGACTGCCTGCCTGCCTGTTTTAGCTCATAAAATTCATACAAATTACCCGGCCAGAATATAATTTACATTGCTGGAATTCTTACAATATGATGATCGTTTTGAATATAAACATCATATATTTTGCATTAGACATACAAATTTTAGATATAATGTTTACTCTGAGTAAATATGTTATTTTTTGTGCAAAATATATGACATTTGTTTTCAAAATATTCCTGGTCTTACAAGGAATCCAGCAATGCCAATTATATTATCCTAACTTTAGTTTGAGGTATTATTTATTACTAAAAAGGTAAATATTCTGGTTTTCCCACACATCTGGTAGGGAGGGTTGGTGGGGGTGGGGGGAGGGAGGGACCGACCGACCATCTGTTACGGTGTGAAGAATATATATTTTTTTTTATTAACTGAAGATATTTGTTTTAGCTCATAAAATTCATACAAATTACCCGGTCAGAATATAATTTAAATTGCTGGAATTCTTATAATTTGATGATCATTTTGAATATAAACATCATAGATTTTGCATTAGACATACAA